GATGATGCGGATGATGGTGATGATGGTAAGGATGAGGAGGATGCGGCTGCTAAAGATAATTGCGGTGGTGAGGAGGATGACGGTGACGACGATCATGGCATTGAGCGCGACGACGATGACGATGACGATGGCGATGATGCTGCTGCTGATGATGGTGGCGACGGTTATGATGATGCTGATGATGCTGATAATGATGCTGATGCTGCTGCTGATGATGATGATGCTGAACATGGTGAGGATGATGGTGATGACGATGATGATGCTGCTGCTGATGATTTTGATGCTGATGCTGAAGTCGATGATAATGAAGACGATGTCGATGATGCCGTCGACGACGACAATGATGATACTGATGACGCTGATGATGATGATGATGCTGATGACGGTTACGATGATGGCGATGGTCATGATGATGTTGATGATGTTGATGCAGATGATGATGACGATGATGATGATAATGATGATGATGATGATGATGATGATGATGATGCTGATCATGCAGATGATGCTGCTGCTGATGATGATGGTGTTGCTGACCATGATGCTGCTGCTGATGATGCTGACGATGATGGTGATGACGATAATGATGCGGATGCTGATGACGATGACGATGCTGTCGATGATGATGCCGACTACGACGATGCACATGCTGCTGATGATGCTGATGCTGATGATGATGCTGATGATGCTGATGAAGAAGATGATAATGCCACTGATGCTGATGATGAGCATGACGATGTTGACGATGCTGACGATGGCGATGACGATGACAATGACGATGACGATGGTGATGGTGATGCTAGGCTTTCCTGATGGTGCTGTTGATGGTGATAATACTGGTGATGCTGATGCTGATGATGGTGATGCTGATGCTGATGACGATGATGCTGCTGATGCTGATGATGATGCTGATGCTGATGATGCCGGCTATGCTGCTGATGACGATCATGACGGCAATGCTGATGATGTTGTCGACGATGATGATGACGATGTTGATGAGGATGATGATGATGCCGATGATACTGATGATGATGATGATGATGATGATGATGATATTGATGCTGCTGCTGCTGATGATGATGATGATGCTTCTGATGGCGATGGTGATGCTGCTGATGTTGATGATGTTGATGATGATGGTGATGCCCATGATACTGGTGACGATGATGATGACGATGCTGATGTCGGCAATGACAGCTACGATGGTGAAAGAAGTTGGCAGTGACAACCATGATGACTGTGAAGCTTATGATGCTCATGCTGCTACTGCTGATGGTGCTGATGCTGAAGCTGTTGCTGCTGATGATTGTCGAAGACGATCTTCAAGCGAGGGCGCGCACGGCCCGCTCCGCAGGAGCGTGCACCCCAAGATGATGCACCTGTCCCCGCAGGAGACCCTGCAGCTGGCCATCACCCTGAAGATCGACGAGACGTGTCCCACCAAGGAGTGTGTGTGTGTGTATGTGTGTGTGTGTGTGTGTTTGTTTCTCCGCCTCGACGCTTCGCGCGAGGCCGCGACCGCCACGCAAGTGTGTGTAGTTGTGTGTGTGTGTGTGTGTGCGTGTGTGTGTGTGTATGTGTATGTGTGTGTGTGTGTGTGTGTGCGTGCATTTGTATGTGCTTTTTTTCCCAACCATCCTGTGGTGTTGGGTCCTCGATTTGAAGAGACGGCGCTCCGCGTTCTCGCCTCCTTCCTCCCCCTCCTCCCTTATCCCACCCCTCCCTCATCTCTCCTCGTGCCGTCATCGCCATCACTATCGTCATCATCGTGATCACCGTCACCATTATTGGCGTCATCAACATCGCCATCGTCAGCGTCGTGACACGCCTCTCGCACGGTTCGTGGTCTCATAGGGAGCTCCACCAAATGCGCCAGTGTCGGAGGTTGCATCGTCAACGCCACCCATTTCGGCACACCCCTCACACAGTTCGTGGCCCCATAGGGAGCTCCACCGAAGCCTCCAGTGGCAGCGGTTGCATGCGTCAGCGCCACCCATTTCGGCACACCCCTCACACGGTTCGTGGCCCCATAGGGAGCTCCACCGAAGGGTCCAGTGAGAGAAGGAGGACGAGGAGGATGAAGAGGAGGAAAGGGAGAGGAGGAGAAGGAGGACGAGAAGGACGCCATTTGCATATCGTTTGTCGTGAGAGCCTCTTGGAGGACTCTTGGGGCTATCTTGGGCTCTTCCTGGGGCCCTGTTGGGATCCTCTTGGGACTGCCCTAGGGCCCTCTCGGGACTCTCGGGGCTGTGTTTGGGTGTCTTTGGGCCCTCTTGGGGCTCTTTGGGGAGGGTCTTGGGGCGATCTCGGGCCCCGCTATGGCTCAGAAGGAGGGCAGCCATGCCGCCCGCCCCCCCCTCGGAAGACGGCACACACTGCCTCTACTGGGGGCCTGTTGCAGCGCTCTTGCGGGCCTCCTGGGGGCCTCTTGGGCGCCTCTCGGGGCCCTCTGGGGCTCCTCCGGGTGCTCTCTGGGGCGGGGGCTTCCTGGACCACCTCCCCCCAAATCCCTTGTTTTCGGAAGGTCGCCCTCCTCGCTCTGCCCCCCTCTCCTGCGCGCCGCCGCAGTATGGCCCCATCAGCTTGGCATCAGTCGGGCGTGTGCTTTTGCTCCCGGCGAGGACCATCGAGGAACATTCTGGCTCATCTTACGACGCAGGCGACGCACGAAATCGAAAAATGCACGCGGAATGGACGTCCGAGCGATGGCGAGTCAGGGATCGTGCCCTCCGGGGCGTGCCCCAATCAGACTCCGATCGCCCCCTCTCGGCCAGGGTCTCCCTTCCCCACTAGTGCAAGCCAGAAGGACATCTTGAACCTCATCGTCTCCGAGGGCAACGACCTCACCGTGGAGGTGACACGGGCCCGCGGCGCAACCCTCACCCGCGATGCACCTTCCGACCCGATCCTCCCCTGTACAGTCGGACCGAGGTATAAGATCGAGGTCGGTTCGGGGAGGGTACCCTAGTGCTCTTCGTGTTTGCTGGGTGTTCTCGTGCATCCTGGATGTTCTGTTTGTTTTGGCAGGCGGAGGGTCTCGTGTTCTTGAAGGATGTTCTTCTGGCCTGGGTCCGACTGTATCCTCCTCCCTGCCCCTCGTCAGCCGCCACGCACGGAGGGCCACTACCACCGCTGGGGGTTGCAGAGGGTCGGGCCAGCCGAAGCAGAACTGATGGCATGAACATGCACTGTCGGAGCCCTGCACCAATTTCTTGGATCGGCGCTGGCCCCCCCTCGAGAGGGCGAGAGGCTGACTCCTCTTCTTCGGCGGCAGGTGGCGGAAGGCTGGCAAGAGGCGGCAGGAGTAGAATTCGAAGACGAGACAACTGCGTAAGCATACACTTCCGGAGGTCCGCGTGGATCCCCCTGGCAGCGCCTCCGGCGCCGCCCCTGGCGCGCTCCGCGCGCCAGGGAAGGGGTTCCAGCGCCGGTCCAAGAAATCCGCTCGGAGGTCCGAAGCTTCATATCTATGCAGCTTTTTCTTTCTCCAGTCCATGGAGTGGCAGTGATGCGTGCTGGTTTGGGCGCCTCCGTGGGGCATTCAGCGCACCCGCATCCCACGAAACAGCGCACCTTGTGCTGCCCAGGTGGTGGTGGGGGTTAGTTGTTTCTATTGTTGTTTTGGATCTTTCCTCTGACCCTTCCTTCCCTTCCCTTACTCCCCCCCAGTGCGCTCAGTACGACCGACGCTCCGCGTCATCCCGATCTCCTTCCCCCTGCGATTCAGCCTTGGACGATCCTGAGGCCCACGGCTCGATCTGCGCGGGCACCACGCCTCCCATCACCTCAGGCTGGCTGGGCGCCCGACCCGAGCAGCGATCTCGATAGACTTCGACCTCGCTGTTATCCCAGCGGCACCCGGTCTCTCCTCCTCGTTTCAGGATCGCGGAGGGTATGGGCTGCGAGCGCAGTGCGCACGGAGGAAGCAGGGTGGTGCCAGTCGGCCAGGCCGAGCCGCGCCGCCGCGAGGTGAGAGGCAAAGGGACCGAGACACCGATCCAGAGCGAGCAGCCTCTGGACCTCATCGACTTCGGCACCCTCTTCACCACCCACCACGCGGGGCGGGAGCCATGGCAGCGGGGAGCAGGACCAGGAAAAGGGTCGGACTGTGCTGAGGCGGGCGATGACGACGGTGAGGTTGCGGATGAGGATGAGGATGATGGCGGGCCCGGGGCCCTGATGTGTGCACCTCCCGTCTGCCTCCCCCCCTCCCTTCGCAGGAGGAAAACACTGGATCGTGGCAGTTGGCGCTTTCAGGTATTAATCAGCGGGCGAATGAGGGTATAACATTTGTTTTTCGTCACAGGGGGCGCCTGTCCCAGGGGTGCTGGACAGTTTATACCTGACGTGCCACCGTAGGGGTATAAACTTTCCAGCCGCCCTGGGACAGTTGTCCCCGACGGCGAACCAGTTTATTTTACACCGTCCTTCGCCCCTTAAATGAAGGACAGAGTTGTGGATGTACGTTGGCACAGATGGTCGATTGTGAATTGCGTGCGGGCCGCGTGGCGGCGTCCGCGGCGACGGAGGGAGGAGGAAGGGCAGGAGAGGGCGGGGGGAGAAGGAGGAGAAAGAGGATGATGATGATGATGATGATGATGATGATGATGATGATGATGATGATGCTGATGATGATGATGATGATGATGATGATGATGATGATGATGATGATGCTGATGATGATGATGATGATGATGAGGAGGAGGAGGAGGAGAGTGACGATGGGGGAGGAGGAGAGGTAGGAGAGAGGAAGGAGGAGAGAGAAGGGATGAAGGGCACGACGATGGTGACGAGGAGCAGGACGATTATGGTTACGATGCTGATGATGCTGATGATGATGACGATGACGACGGTGATGATGGTGACGATGCTGGTAATGCTGATGATGATTATGATGCTGATTATGATGATGATGATTATGCTGATGCTGTTGATGACGATTATTATGATGATGACGCTGCTGCTGATGATGAGGATCATGAGGTTGCTGATGCTATGATAAGGGGCGATGCTCGTGTTGATGCAGATGCTGATTGCCATTCTTATGATGATGGCGATACTGAGGACGATGACTATAATGATGCGTGTGGGAACTTTGTTGACGATGGCGAATACGAGTGTGGTTACGATGGTGATGCTGCTGCTGATGATGATGACGACGGTAGTAGTGGTGGCGGTGATCATGGTGACGATGATTATGTTGATGGTGCCGATGGCGATGATGATGGCGATGATGAGTATGAGGATGGTGATGGTGGTACAGAGGAGCAGGAGGAGGATAATGAGCAGGAGGAGGAGAATGAGCAGGAGGATGAGGAGGAGTAGGAGGAGGATAGGGATGATGATGCTCACGATGAGGGGGCGTACGAGGAGAAGGAGGATAGAAGGATGAGAGAGTGACGAGGCGATGGGGATGCGGAGAATAACGCTGAGGATGATTATGAGGGGGGGAGAGAAAAAGAAAGAGAGAGAGAGAGAGAGAGAGAGAGAGAGAGAGAAAGAGAGAGAGAGAGAGGCAATGACAAGAGAGAGAGAGAGAGAACAAATAAAACAAGAAAGAGAGAGCGAGAGAAAGAGAGAGAGAGAGAGAGAGAGACAGAGTCGCCATCTCGGGGCCCGTCTTGGGACCCTCTCGGGGGCCTCTCGGGCCGTTTTGGAGCTATCTTGGAGGCCTGTTGAGCCGTCTTCGGCTGTTGGAAACCCGAGGAGGCGAGAACGCGAAATTCGTGAGAAAACAGAGAGACCTTCATGATTTGGGCCTCTCCGGGCCCTCCCAGGGGGCCACTTGGAACCCTCTTGTGGCGTCTTGGGGGCCTCTTGGGCCGCCTTGAGGCCATCATGCGCCGTCTTGGAGCCACATTGGTCCGTCTCGGGCCATGCTGGAGCAATGTTGGCTTTCTTGGAGGACATGTGGGACCATCTTGGAGTCCTTTTTGGTGGCATCTTGGGACCATCTTGGGCGGAAAAGCCATGGAACAAACATTTTCTGGTGGGCCGGTGTATTGAGCTGGAGGCCATTGGGATTTTTTTCAAAAGGGTTCAAGCGGTCAACATCCGGCACGCCAACCACCCCTCTCGTAAGCAACAGCGGGCGGCGGATCGAAGACGCCTACGGCGAATCACTGCCGCCCCCTGCCTGTTGGAAACGCCCATGCGGTCAAACGTTCGGCCGAAGTCTGGCCAAGCTATTGCACTATGTGTTCCCCCTGCTGTTGGGAGAAGAAGAGGCAGGGAGGAACAGTAGAACGAGGAGGAGGAGGAGGATGTTGCAGTAAACGCTCCCTCCAAGTTCCTTGTTCATGAGTCACTACAGTAGTTCATTTGTCATTACGGGAAGTGCTCCTTTGGAAGACAACCGTCTGAGAATCCTCAATCGCGCCAAACACAGTTCCTGTAACTTCCACGACGCGAATCAAGGTGATTGTTGCGTCCTGACGAATCGTGCCAGGACGCAATTCATGGAATTCAACACCGCGAATCAACGTGACTGCTGCGTTCTAACAACCCGAAGTCGTGGAAGGACACCCTTTCTGGGATTTCAACCACTCAAATCCCTGATCATATTGCGAGCATTCAAGACGAATGTATGCGACGCTAAGGCGAGCGCCGCATTTTGGAAAGGAACCGCCCTCCATCTCTGAAGCCGTTGTAGGCTTGAATAAGAGATTGCGCGGCTCTAAAATGAGAGCCACATTTTGCAAACGGTCGGACGGTCCATCCTTGAACCTCTCGCAAACTTTTAAGACGACTGTGCACGGAATTAATGGTGAACAAGCCTCATGCGAAGCGCCCGGCCCGCCCTGCTGGCACGCCCTGGGGTGCGACAGGGAGGAGTCATTTGGGAGGAAGAGGGATCGAGGAGGAGGAGGAGAAGGAGCAGGAGAAGCAGGAGGAGGAGGAGAACAAAGAGGAGGTCTCCAGCCTCTTGGGGGCCTCCGAGGGGCCTCTTGGGGGCCTCTTGGGGCTTCTTGGGGGCCTCATTGGGCCTGGGCCTCTTGGAGGCCTTGTGGACATCTTGGCCTTCGGAGGCCATCTAAGGGGCATCTTGGATGTCTTTTGAGGGCCGTCTTGGGGGCTTCTTGGGCCGTCTTGGGGCCCTCATGGGGCTTTCTTTGGCCGTCGTGCGGGCCTCTTGGCTACATCTTGGGAGCCTCTTGAGCCGTCTTGGGGCGATCTTGGGGCAATCTTGGGGGCCTATGAGGCCGTCTTGGAGCGTCGGAAATCCGAAAAGACGCGAACGCTAAAATCATAGAACAAGTTACGGGATATATTGGTTTTGGCCTGCTGGAGTCCTTTTGGTGCCTTCTTGGGGCGTCTTGGGGGCCTCTTGGGCCGTTTGGAGGCCATCTTTGGCCGTCTTGGGTGCATCTTGGGCTGTCTTGGATGCGTCTTGGGGCCATATTGGGCGCAGTTGGGACCATCTTAGTCGTCTTTGTGGAGGCATCTTGGAGGCCATCTTGGGTCATCTTTGCCGTCTTGGGGAGATTTTTGGTGGACGTTGATGAGGTCTTTTTGGGTGACTGGCGGGCTGGGCCGGAGGCCCGTGGGAACCTTTAAAAAGGACTTAGCCGTCAAACGTGCGGCACTCCAGGCACCCCTTTGATAAAGCAAGAGGGGGCGGCAGATCTAGTGGTATTCGGCTCAACCCGCCACCGTGATTGTGTTGTGGACCGGAGGCCCCGTACATGTCTCTTGGGGTCTCTTGGAAGAGCTCGAAGGGACCTGAGGACGCTTCAGGGGGGGGGGGGGGGGGAAGTGGGTGATGAGGATGAGGAGTAAGGAGGAGGGAAGGAGGAGGAGGAAGGAGGAGGAGGAGGAGGAGGAGAGGAGAGGAGGAGGAGGAGGAGGAGGAGGAGGAGGAGGAGGAGGAGAACCGTTGTCATCGCAAGACGCATCCACGATGTTGCAATACTTCCTCCCGTCAAGGTCTCGGGAAGGGTCCGTTGGAAGACAATCGTTTGACAAATGTCAACCGTGCCAACGCACCATTCCTGGGACTTCACACCGCGAATCAACGTTACTGCTACGATCCGGCGATCTAAACTCGTGCCAAAGCGCCGTTTCTGGGACGTCATCACCACGAATCAGCGTGACTGTCGCGCCCTGACAATCCCAAGTCGTACCAAGACACCATCTCTGCGACGTCAGCCATAAGAGCCCTTGACACGGTTGTAGACTGTTAAGACGAAGGTATGCGGCGCTAAGGCGAGATCCACATTTTTTAAAAGGAATCGCCCTCCATCCGTGAAGTTCTTGTACGAACTTAAAGTACGAATGTGTGCGGCGCTGAAGCGAGAACCACATTTTGAAAACGACCCGCCTGCATCCATGAAGCTCTTGCAAACTTTGAGAGAAGAACGTGCGCGGCGCCAAGGCGAGAGCCACATTGTGAAAACCGCCCGCCTTCCATCCGTTAAGCTGTTGCAAATCTGAAGCTTGAGAGCTATAACAAATGGTGAGGAAGTCTCAGGCGAAACGCCTGGCCCGCCCTGCCGACCCTCCCTGGGTGCGACAGGGTCGAGCATATTATAAGGAAGTGGATGCAGGAGGAGAAGGAGGAGGATTAGGAGGAGGAGGAGGAGGATGCGGAGGAGGAGGAGGAGGAGGAGGAGGAGGAGGAGCAGGATCAGGAGCAGGATGAGGAGGAGGTAGCGGAGGGGGAGGAGGAGGAGGAACAGCAGGGATTTCTTGGTGTGTAAGCTTGAGGCCTCGCAGCGCGCTTCGACACCCTTGCTGTCCTCGCGCGGCTCGGTCTGTCTGACCTAGGAGCTTCATCGTCGGCTGAGGTCGTTTCGGGCGTGGAGTTCTATGTCGCCTAGTGGGGATGCTCATGATGAAGAGGAAAGAGGATGAGAGAGCAATGAGGAGAAGGGGGACGATGATGATGCTGATTATGATGATGAGGAGGAGCAGGAGGAGGAAGAGCAGGAGGATGAGGAGCAGGAGGAGAAGGAGGAGGGGGAGGAGGAGAAGGAAGAGGGGTGATTTGGCAGACTCTCAGTAACGACTTGTGCAGAATGATTGTGGAGTCGACCGCAGCAGGGGAGGAGCCCCGAGATATCGTTATCAGGAACTACGGGCAGATAGCGCGGCGGCTGACCTGGCTCAGAGAGAAGGAAAAGAAGAAGGAGCCAGAGCCGGAGCCGAACAAGAAGGGCAAAGCCAAAGTACAGGCGTTCTCCCGCTTTTCGCGCAGTGCCGAGCCACTCTGCAACCGTCTCGGCCGCCCAAGACAATTCTTGCCACGATGTCAGAGCATATTCTCGACAAGAGCATGTTGACAGAACCCTCCAGACACGTCATCTGCCAGCGCTGCGCTTCTTAGCTAATGCCCAGCAGGTTCCCTGAACTTCCTGCTCAGCCCCCTTGGCTTTGGGAGCGAACCGTCGCTGCAAGAGGATACGGCACATCAGATGGCCTCCTTCCATCAATCTTCGGCAGTCGGCATGCTACCGTCGTCACCCCGGTTCAGGGGTCGAATCGCCCCCTGCGTTTTAAAGGATTTTGTTTTGTGGGAGGCGGAGCGCGTCGTTTGCTTGCTGTTGGTATCGGCGTGGTATACCCGCTATGCTTTTCTTCGGCGCTGCCTCCCACTCCTCTCTCTCTCTCTCTTTCCGCCGCCGTCCGCCTAAACTTCAGCTTAAGCAGAGTCTAAGCCTCAGCCCAGCCCAGCTTAATCTCCAGCCGAAGTTTAGCCGAAGTCTAGCCTAAGCCTCAGATTCAGCCTCTGTCTAGAACAGGCTCTGCTTCTTCAGCCTGGCCTAAGCCTGGCCTAAGCCTGGCCTGAGCTTAAGCTTCAGCCTCGGCCTAGCCTAAGCTTTAGCCGAAGTGTTGTCTAAGCCTGGCCCAAACCCAAGCCTAAGTCTAAACTCCAGCCCCCGCC